ATTTTCACAACTATTCATGAATTTTTCAACTTTTAAAATAAAATTTACTTTTACTTGAAATATACAATACAAATAAGTGAATATTAACCCATGTTTGGTACCGATTAAAATTTAGATTTTAATTTAAATCAAAGTTAACAATTTGTTTCGACCACATATTTTATGAATCTCACAACTTTTTAACTACATGTTTCATCAATTTCTATCAAAATCTACTAAAAATTTGATTTTAATTCTCAGCAAATAGACAATTCAAACGTTTTGACAGCTCACATTATGTATCGGAGCAAGCGAAGGTTTTGGATTTACCATTACTCATTTATGAAGATTTTACGTCTAGCGTTCCATAAAAATTAAAAATTGAAAAAATTGAATTTGGTCAATATATAACAAAACTTGATGTAGATAAAACAAAAAAAATTAATCACTTTTATTTTTAACCTTTCAATTAATTAACACGATATTTTTTTTATATTGGAAATATATAATGAAAGTAATGTCAAACAAAAATAGTCATCTAGTTCTTCTACTTATTTTCAACTACACATTTTTCAATAAAATAATATTTTTCATTACATCAATAATTTTTCCTTCTTTTTCAACTACACATTCTCCATCAATTTACTATTCCAAAATACATTTTTTCAAAATAATATGGCTCAAACACGCCCTAAAATAGTCACTTTTACAACAGGTTTAGGACCACTTGAAAGGGAGCTGGAGCTTTATTTGCTTTTTTGAAGAAAAATAAAATTTAAATACATAAAAATAGACATTTCATCTTTTTTGCCTTTTATTTATTCCCTAATATTCATGCTTTCACAACTTTTTNATGTGTCTCAAACACACTCTTAATCACTTTTTAACCTAATAAGTGGTAGAAATTTATTTTTAGAAATATAATAAAATAAATGTTTATTAATTTCCAGGGTAAGGGGAAAAACTCACAGCTGTACGGTCGTTTTTCTTTTTGTTTTTTGTCAACAATCAATGTAAAAATGACAAGTTCCCCGGTAAGAGGCTTGACAGAATTTCCCCGTACACCAAGCATTGCTCTAAGGGTTATGATAAAGATACATAACTCATAACATAAAGATGTCCATAATTGACACATGGAAGCTCCTTATTGGGGGGGCGTCTGGGCCCCCAGGCGCCCCCCCCAATAGGGGACCTCCATTTGTCCATTATGGACTTCCTTGCTCTAATTTCCAACTGCTCATATTTTCACAACTATTCATGAATTTTTCAACTTTTAAAATCAAATTTACTTTTACTTGAAATATACAATACAAATAAGTGAATATTAACCCATGTTTGGTACCGATTAAAATTTAGATTTTAATTTAAATCAAAGTTAACAATTTGTTTCGACCACATATTTTATGAATCTCACAACTTTTTAACTACATGTTTCATCAATTTCTATCAAAATCTACTAAAAATTTGATTTTAATTCTCAGCAAATAGACAATTCAAACGTTTTGACAGCTCACATTATGTATCGGAGCAAGCGAAGGTTTTGGATTTACCATTACTCATTTATGAAGATTTTACGTCTAGCGTTCCATAAAAATTAAAAATTGAAAAAATTGAATTTGGTCAATATATAACAAAACTTGATGTAGATAAAACAAAAAAAAAAAATCACTTTTATTTTTAACCTTTCAATTAATTAACACGATATTTTTTTTATATTGGAAATATATAATGAAAGTAATGTCAAACAAAAATAGTCATCTGTTTGAGCCACATTAAAAATTTCATTCTAGTTCTTCTACGTATTTTCAACCACACATTCTTTAATAAAATAATATTTTCCATTACATTAATAATTTTTCCTACTTTTTCAACTATACATTCTCCATCAATTTACTATTCCAAAATACATTCTTCCAAAACAATATGTCTCAAACACGCCCTAAAATAGTCACTTTTACAACAGGTTTAGGACCACTTGAAAGGGAGCTGGAGCTTTTTTTGCTTTTTTGAAGAAAAATAAAATTTAAATACATAAAAATAGACATTTCATCTTTTTTGCCTTTTATTTATTCCCTAATATTCATGCTTTCACAACTTTTTATGTATTTTGCTTTTGAAATAAAATTTTCACGTATTACTAAAATAAAATATTAATAAATAAATATATTATCTTTACCGTTTTGACTATGTCGATTTTGCATCGAAGCAAGCAAAATTGTGAATTAAGTCGTAAAGATTATATTGAATTTGTTTCACTATGACCACTCAATTTTATATTTAGAGCTTGTTTGGGAGAGATTTTTGGGGGAAGAATTGATTTTGAATAGTGATATGATGGGAAATGTATAGTTGAAAAAGAGGAAAAAATTATTGATGTGATGGAAAATATTATTTTATTGAAAAATGTGTGGTTGAAAATGAGAATTGATTTACTGTAGAAAAATAAAATTCCTCCGAAACAGGGCCTTAGTTTCAGTCATACCACCCGATAATTAATTGGGTAGCCAATGTAACACTAAATATAAAGTTCGATGGATAATTATACTAAATTTACTTTCACGATTTCTTAAGATGTAATTTTATTTTTTTTTTCACATAAAGCCTGCAAAGATCCCAACAAGCTTTTTCAAAATGTGAAATCTTCTTTTGAGCCTTATGGAACATCACTAAGTCATTTCCTTACTTTCATTTCATCCGACGAGGTGACGTATTGTATTTTATTAAGGACCGACCGCCCATGGTTTGATCTAAAGAGTGTTGACTTTTCTAAAGCTACACTTCTAACATTCTATGATTCGTGTCTTATTTAATCACTTTTTAACCTAATAAATGCTAGAAATTTATTTTTAGAAATATAATTTATGTATTAATTTCCAGCTGCCCGTGTTTTCACAACTATTCATGAATTTTTTTAACTTTTAAAATCAAATTTACCATTTTGACGGCGCACATTATGTAGCGCGGAGCAAGTAAAGGTTTTGGATTTACAATTACTCGTTTCTGAAATTTCACGTCTAGCATTTCATGGAAAAAAAATTGAATTTGGCCCCGGATATAACAAAATTTGATGTAGATACCTTTCAATTAATTATCACGATAGATTTATATATATATATATATATATACTTTTCTTCAAGAAGCAAAAAAGCCCGAGTTCCCTTTCAAATGGTCCTTAACCCAATATATAGTCACATTTACGAAAGGTTAAGGTTGGGTTCAGGACCATTTGAAAGGGAACTGGGGCTTTTTGGCTTCGGCTTCTTGAAGAAAAGTAAAATTCACATGCATAAAAATAGACATTTCATCTTTTTTTGCCTTTTATTAATTTCCTAATTTTCATGCTTTCACAACTTTTTATGCATTTTTCTTTCGAAATCAAAATTTCATATATTACTCAAAAATAAAAATATTATCGTTACCATTTTGACAACGTCAATTTTGCATCGAATAAAGCAAAATTTTGAATTAAGTCGTGAAGGTTATACCGATGACACTTCGATTTGGACAAGTAGAAATTATCAAAATAAAATATTACTAAATAATTTTTCTCATTTTTAATAGTTTGAGCTGTATTAGACTATACAATTAAAATAAAAAAAAATACGTAGAAAATTTGAACCCTTTATTTTAATAAACAGTCACTTTCAGAGTGTATGGGAAACATCTGTATATTGAAAGAAAACTGGAAATTATAGTTTCTTGAGGAAAAAAAAATAAAAAAAATAAAATACAATAATGGACTTTTCTTCCTCTCTTTGGCCTTTTATGTCAATCTATATTAATATGTTGATTAATACACCAACAAAAGGCTGCAATTATTGAAATCACATGCACTTGTACATAATATTATTACTGTAAACTCTAAATTACGGTGGAGGAAAAGTGCCAACATGTAGAATAATTTAAAGGAAATCGAGCAATAGAGATTCATTGTGTGATTGTTCTCGCCAAGTAATATACTTGTTTTCGAAATTACTTAAATGAACTTTATAATTAAATCGAGAAAAAAAATATTTAAAATGATTAAAAGCAAGATAAAACGTTAATGTATAAACTCGTGAGTACATGAATGGTATCAACAAGTTAAAAAATATATATATATAAAAGAAAATGAAGGAATTTAATGTAGACGAATTTTGGATGATCAAGAAACATAGATAGAAAGTACGAAAGGATAAGCATTATCGTTCAACAACACGGCAATTCTTTTTTTGTCTCGTGCGTTTAGAGTTGTCATCCAATCGTCCAATTGAAGCAATGTAGGTAGCTAGGGTTTTAACCCTTTTCCAAAATTATATAGAAATAATTGAATTTTGTAATTAACTCAAGACGAAACCACGTGTAGTCTAGCCATTCATAAGGAAGTACGACGTGAATGGTGTCAACAAGTTAAACAATATCGTTACGGAAAATGATGAAATTTAATGTAGATGAAATTTGTGTGATCAAGCAACGTAGATATAAAGTACGAAAATTTTAATGTATGCTTTCAACAAACGCAATTCTTTTTATGTCCTGTTCGTTAAAAGATTGCTATCCATTCAATTGTTGGAACACAAAACAGTAAAGGTAGTTGGGGTTTAAACCTTTTTTCGAGATTATACAAAATAATGTATAGTGTCGCAGGTACATGGATGGTGCGAACAAAACTAAAAATATGAACATGCTTTGTGGGGTGAAATTTGCAATTTTTAAAACTGTGGAGCAGGTTACTTGTTCATAACAGAAATAAATTGAGAAAATGAAAGTGGATCGAACATGTACTTAAAATAATTAATTTTTCCAGCTGTTGAAGAGTTTAAAATTGTACAAATTGCTTATAATCAATTGAATTGGTCACTAACGACTTTTTTCTCTTTATCATTTGATCTATATATTGGAGTGATTGAACACAATTAGCCATCACATTCTAACTAAACACCAAGAGACTTTTGTCTTCTATTCTTGTCACAAGACAAAAGGAGAGAGGAGTCGTCGAGGTCGGAAATTGGCCGGAATTGGAGAAGTTTTTTGGTGCAGAAATGACGACACAGAGCGGCGGCCCCATGAGGGGTCGTGTGCTACCACAATTACTAGTGGCATTGGCCATTTTGGCAGTTTCTAATGTTGTTTCGGCTGACCCTTATGTTTATTCATCACCGCCACCACCACCGTACGAGTACAAGTCGCCACCACCACCTTCACCATCGCCGCCACCACCATATGAGTACAAGTCACCACCACCTCCTTCTCCATCTCCATCTTATGTGTACAAATCGCCGCCACCTCCTTCTCCATCACCACCACCACCTTATGTGTATAAATCTCCTCCACCACCCTCACCATCACCACCACCTCCTTATGTGTACAAGTCGCCACCACCACCACCATATGAATACAAGTCACCTCCACCACCACCATATGTATACAAGTCCCCCCCACCACCTTCTCCCTCACCACCTCCACCATATTATTACAAATCTCCACCACCACCTTCTCCCTCCCCACCACCACCATACTACTACAAATCACCACCACCACCTTCACCATCTCCTCCACCACCATACTACTACAAATCTCCACCACCCCCCTCACCATCACCACCTCCACCATACTATTACAAATCTCCACCACCACCTGTTAAGTCTCCACCTCCTCCTTACTACTACACTTCTCCTCCACCACCAGTGAAGTCTCCTCCACCACCATACTACTACACCTCTCCACCACCACCAGTCAAATCACCACCTCCTCCATACTACTATGTGTGAGGTGGTGGTGGTTTCTTCAGAGCACCACCACCATACTACTACACTTCTCCACCACCACCAGTTAAGTCTCCTCCTCCACCATACCACTACACATCTCCACCACCACCAGTGAAGTCCCCACCACCACCATACTACTACACCTCTCCACCGCCACCAGTTCACTACTACCCACCCCACCATCCATTGGTTGTCAAGGTAGTAGGCAAAGTATACTGTTTCAAATGCTATGACTGGACCTACCCAAAGAAGTCCCACAACAAGAAACACCTAAAAGGTAAATATTCTTACTATCCCATTAATTAATTTTCTTTTATTATTACATACATGCATTCTTCAATAATTTCTAGTTCATTATGCCAATTTTAAGCCTGGATTTGACCAAAACAAGAAGATACATATGACAATTTGAATTGTAAATTGATAAGATCTTTTTCCTAATTGCCATTAATATACAAATTAATTTTTTTAATTTTATAGTTAATAAAAAAGAAAGATATTTTCTAATTTTATATAAAAAGGGAAGTTGAGCGTGGTCCACACTGGAAGTGAAATTTGTTGGACTTTTTCCTCACAACAATGATTGTCTGTAAATCTCGTTTTCGATTTTCAAATTTCATCCTTAGTTACCACATAATTAATTGAGTAATTAAGGTATAATCAGCCAATAATAGTGTAGCATTGTCATATATTGCTGGACATCGCCAACTCAACCATGGCGGCTTTAATTAAATATAATATGATTTAATTTTGTTGTAAAGGGAATCCTTTAATACAAATTATTTGATTAAATACAATTTGCATAAAGATATTGTTAATTATAATAAAGTTAATTATGGAAAGGACAACATTATTGGTTACTGTGTAAGTAAAGTTTGTCTTAGAAAAGATTCTACAGTGGTTGGCAGCTACTTTATTTAATTACCTTAATTTAATTTTGAGTTAGATAACTTATCTTTGTGCACATGGAACAGGTGCTGTTGTAGAGGTGACATGCAAGGCTGGTGACAAGGAAATTAAGGCATATGGAAAAACAAAGATTAATGGAAAATACAGTATTCCAGTTGAAGGTTTTGAGTATGTCAAATATGGAGCTAAGGCATGCAAGGCTAAACTCCATGCACCACCGAAGGGATCAAAATGTAGCATTCCAACAGATCTTCATTGGGGAAAGAAGGGTGCCAAACTCAAGGTGAAATCCAAGGATAAGTATGAAGTTGTGCTCTATGCGAAATCGTTTGCTTATGCTCCTAAGACTCCTTACGAGGAGTGTAAGAAGCTGAAGCCGAAGCCAACTCCGGCTCCGTACTACTACAAGTCTCCTCCACCACCATCGCCGACTTATGTGTACAAGTCTCCACCTCCTCCAGCACCTACTTATGTCTACAAATCTCCACCACCACCAACACCGACTTATGTGTACAAGTCTCCTCCGCCACCTACACCAAAATATGTGTACAAGTCTCCACCACCACCAACCCCGACCTATGAATACAAGTCGCCACCGCCTCCAACCCCGACCTATGAATCCAAGTCGCCACCGCCTCCAACACCTACCTATGTATACAAGTCTCCACCACCACCTTCACCAAAATATATCTACAAGTCACCACCGCCTCCGACACCTACTTATGTATACAAGTCTCCTCCACCACCAAC